GTCAAAACCATTGCAAAAGTCCCCCAAGGGTGAAGATGCTTTGAACTGGCCAGGAGGCATAAAACAAGACACACTGCTCTGTACTGCGTGTCCATTGATTCAAAGACACTCCATCTGGCATGCAAGATGTGCCAATCTGGTCTTAAGATCTGGCCCTTAGCCTTCCCCCTGATTAAAAACCGACAAAGAATGTGGGAAGTTCAGGAGCAGCGAAGAAAGAAAACCTGCTGAAACCTAATATTTTTTGAATGAGCTCTGCCAAACTTCTGCCCTCAGGCAACCCCTTCAGCTTCTGTGACTCAAGAGACACAAACCTGGCACCAAATACTACTACTGTGGCCATTAGGAAGGGTGCGCCTGAGCCGTGTCTCCTCCCCCTGCAAGAGCAGCTTCTGATCAGACCCCTTGAAGTGCTTGATCTTGGAAAAGAAACCGCACTTCTTTCCCTTTGGAAACTGCTGCCGGTGCATCGCTGGAACCTGTTATCTGGTAACCGAGCTCCAGTCAGCACGGAGAGGTGGCTTTTCATGGCCTTCACCTCATTGATCATCATTGGGAAGAACCCAGCAGGGTGATAAAAACTGAACAGATGGTACCAATTTGATCTGACATAAGCCAAGCCAGCTCTTGCAAATCAATTGCTTAAGTGGGCCGTGATTTGCATATTTGTTTAACGCCAGGGAAAACTGTTCTCACAATGTTCTGCACAAATTGCAGAAAGGGGGTCCAAAATTTTGCACAGATCTGATATGATGGTATCCCTCTCCCTGTTCCTGGCTCCCTTTTGCTTTCCTTTCCCCTCTTCCTTACTCTCCTTCTGGGCCTCATATTCTTTTCCTATTGCTGTGATAGCCTCCTTCCTCGTGACCCTCTCACTCACCCCGTGGCTTCTCTTAGCACCGTTATACTTGCTACCGCTACAAATAGTAACAGCAGCAATACACCCAATTCCATTCTGACTTCATAGGCAGAGGAGCTTTTATACGGATACTACTAAACACCAAACTGCTGAGCAGAACCCCATTCCTTCAAATGAAAACTCAGAAAGACACCACTGCCAAAATGATCAGAGGTTTTTATGTAAGCAATTCTTTCTTTTCAACCCAATGCAGAATCGGCACGCTGATCATTCACAAACCATTCGGAATCTGGTGGGTTTACACGACAGCAAGGTACACGCACACACATGCATGCACATTACCCGCACAGATGTGCACACGCACACACATCCTGAAGATGTGTCTGTGTTATTAGTCAGTTCAGTGCTGTGTCTGAAAGAAATATATTTATTTTTATACTGATATCCTGCTTGTCTTGGGGAAAACGCTCACAGGTGGTTCCCAAGGATTGTCCATCCAAGCACTGACCAGATCTGGACTGTGGGGACCATTTCCAGACTGCAAATTCTGAAGAGAATGTCAAGTCCAGAAAGACGCTCTGTTGCCACACTTTCTTGCCATGTTCCCAGTGGCAGAAGCATTTCACTCTCTTTTCATTCTCACTTTAAACTGCTCCCCTTAATGAATCCTCTCTCTTTTTCTAGATCGGATTCTTACCTTGACATTTACCCATTTTCTAACATGACCAAGAGTATCCTCTCCACTCTGTACTAGTGCCCTATATTTTAACACCCTCCCATTTAGCATCCAACCCTACCTATATTGTTACATCCAAGGCCCTCCTTAAACCTTTCTATTCCGCCTGGCTTCTTCTATCTAACTTTCCTGCTCTTCCTTAAACTGCCTGGTCAATGTCCGTAGATGTTCTCCAGCACCGAGAAGTTCTCAGCAGTTCATTAATCAGGGATCCAGAAAGTCAGATCCAAAGCCAAATCTGGCTTCTCCAAGGATCTCCTTTGCCTCCAGCCCCTACATTTCTCCTAACTAGCATTCTTTTGGTGGTTTTTCAACTTTGGCAGGGTTTTATCTCATCTGTTCTAGAAGGCTGCAATCCCTCTCTCAAGACTTAGTTACTGGGACTGGGAGCTTTAAACAATATTTACCCAGCTATTTTTCATATTTTAACCTCTCCTTTTTACCTTTTGGCCCTGCTCACGGTGGTGTCCAAACCCAACAGCCCAAGAATGCAGCCTTGGAGAGTGTCTACGAAATTAAATCTGGCCCACTGGATGAATGCAGCTCAAAACCCTTTTATATAAAACATAAACCTTTCCAGCTTATGGGACTGCGCCCCTCTGGCTTCTTTTTTCCACACCGTCACTTGGGGATACACAGCAGTTCTCTGCTCTATTGCTTCTTGCATCGCTCCTGCAAAGATGTATGGATGTGAGCCAGAAAACAGCGCATGAAATGACCCTTGATACTTCTGCCAGAGATCCTCATGAGAAATTGGGTTTTGAGGCATTTACTGCAGAAATCTATAACACGATTGATCCAAGATATCAGGGGGAGCTCAAATGCTTACAGGATGAATTCCGGTGTAAACAAAAAGATACTGTTTCAGTTCAAATGCATACACAAACTTAACCAATTTGCACTATCCAAACCGCTTACATAACCCTGCATTCAGTTAAATATATCCACACTTCTCCACAATTTGTGATGAAAGTTCACACATCAAGAAAAGGCCTACAAGAATGTGCATAATACTGAAAAATGTGCATGTTAAAAATATACATGAAAGTATGCATATTACAAATAAATGTGCACCTTCTCTTTGGGAAAATCACTTGAAAAACATGTATAATTTGAAAATTGTTTTGAGAACAAAAAATACATCAAAATTTAATGCAGTTTTAAAAATAAGCATCGGTTCATAAATTGAGCAGAGATGGGATGAAATCACATAACTGCATGAAAACTAGGAAGCCAAAAAGATCCAAGCTTGACAAATTTGGCCAGTTTGAGATGACTTTGTGCACCTGATGGCTTTCAGCATTTCCCAATATGAAAATCACAAGGCAGGGTTGCCCAGTGGTTAAGAGTTCTGGACTACGATTTGGGAGATCTGGATTCTAGTCTCTGCTTATTCACAAAACTCATTGAGTGATTAGAGTCAGTCACTGGTTCTTGGCCTAACATATCTCACAAGATTGTCAGGAAGATACAGTGGAGAGGAGGAAGCAAAGCTAAGCCACCTTGGTTCCTTGCAGGAAAAAAGGCAAGATAGAAATATAATAATATAATTTATTATACATATGTATTCATAAATATAAATGAACAAAGAAATGCATCTAACTGCATCTTGCTTTGTTATTTATTCAGTAGGGCAACTGGTGTACCTAGACCACCAAAAGAGAAAAAAAAGAACAGGCCTAGACACAAAGAGAAGACAAACTACAATTACAATCTAATATTTGGCATGGCAGGGAGAAGGAAGAGGAACAGTTTAAAAAGTGTGCCCATGTTATATCATGCTGTAGAGCTACCTTGCTGGCTTGACAGCAAGCTTCTGTGCATTCAGGGAGATGTAATCCTGAGCAAAGTTGTTCAGGGTTACAGGCCAAGACACTCGGTGCTGGTACTATGCAGTTGCCCTGCACGAACCGATACGAATGCCACAAAGCGACGGGGGAGTACAATAGCAGCTGTCAGAAACACTCCTAGACCGACAGATCTGCAATTTATGCAAATACACTTTGCTCTTGATTACTAAAAACATGTGACTAGGATAGTTCGCCTTTGGATATAAGATTAATCATGAAAACAGCATTTTTCTTCCACCAAGGGATACATGAGAAATATAGAGTGTACTGGGTATAACTTTCAGGGGTACAAGGAAAAAGGTCTTGAAAAACTTCATGATGAAGACTCATCAAATGGACACACTGGTCTTCCCATTGGGAACTGGCAATTTGGCGCTCTCGACAGGCTGGAACTGGGTGCCAGTGGTCACTACACAGACCTCACCATGGATCAATTTAGCCCATCTATAGTCATGCCAATTCCCCCATGAGCATTAGACCTAACCATGGCAGAGTTGCCTTGGAACCAGCTTGCAGGTAGATGGAAACCCTGATCAGCAGATGTACTATAGTGGGGTGGACAATCCATGCCCTTACAGATGTCTTGGCCTACAATGCCCATCATCCCTCACCACTGACTATGATAGCTAGGCCTGATGGGAGTTTTAGGCCAAACCATCTGAACGGCTGCAAGTCGCCCACCCTGTTCCAGAGGCTTCAGCCAGCAAAGACCAGGTGATCTGAAGGGCCAACTTGGCCCCAGCTGGTCTGGTACAGCTTCTGCTTCTGGCCTCATTCTGGGTGGCTTTTCAGTTGCTGCAGCCTGCTTGGAAGACCTGTCTGAACCGGCGGGACTGGTACCCTGCATAGAGGCATCATGCTGACAGATCCAATAATCCCTGTGGATATTGTTGACTACAGAGTGGATTCATTTGCACACATTGCAAACTCTGGTTTCCTGTCTTTGTATTTTATAGTCATATTATACAGTTTTATACTTAAAACTTATGGCTTATACTCATTGTTCCATCAAATATACATAATTCTATAGCTGCCCCAGGAAAACAGGTTGTTGGTGGTGGGGGGATGGTGGGGGGATACATTATAACAGGATGGCGATGATGAGGATAATAAGAAATGATGGGAGCCCCTTCCTTTTATATAGACGGGGCCAAAACACTACTAGCTATGTAATCTTTCTGGTAACAGCTTCCACACAAGGCCCGTATGTGTAATGTACAGAGACCACAAAGAAGAAATAATTAATTGTTAATATTATTGGATTTTATCTGGCCAGGGCGGCTTATTTTATATTGTTATTTTTGTATTTTTAATTTTAATATTTATATTTTTAATTTAATGTTATTTATTTTTAAGTTATTGTTGTAAGCCACCCTGAGGCTTCGGCGAATGGGGCGGCATAAAAATGTTTCAATAAATAAATAAATAAAATAAGAAAGAACATAATCAGACCCCTGGTGACTAAGGCACTGAATACCGCATGCTAGACTAGTCAAAAGTTACAATAATCGTGGTCACTTCACATCAACCACAGAAAAATCTTGCAAAAACTGACCTGAGATCCTCGGGGCCCCCGTTTGTGATCCCATTCAGAATGTCCCATGATCTACAGAAAGATGAAAATAACAATAACAATAATAATTTGTATGTATATCCCACCTTTTTCTTTCAAGGAAAGGAATAACAATAATATTTATTATAATATTACATTGTACTATACTATAACATAATATTATTATAATAATGTTTAGCGCCTACAAAATGATCAGGAGTATTACAACCGGAAAGACGCATCTCTGCCCTCCAATGCATGCATTTCTAAAAAAGGGGACTGTAAATTATTTTATGATGGTATGTACACTGATAAGCGTGATTCATATTTGCACATTGTATTACTGTATGATAAACTATTATGTTGCACTGCGTATTGTTGTATTATTTGAACATAAAATATCTGGAACATTTCATATAAAGCTGGGGTATAAATTTAAAAATTCAATACTAATAAATAATCTTTAATAATTTATTGTGATCATTGAATAAAGTGAATTAATAATACATTTAATAATAAAAAGAACTATTTAAAAAAGTAAAACTATTGAATTTTCCCAGTGAGAATCCCTTTACAAAAGCTCTGTTCTTTGATGCCTAAACGCAAGAAAAATGAATGCTTATACAGATATTCCTGCACAGAGGAGGACGGAATGGATGAACTGCTGGCCACCTAGAGAGCAGTCCTACACATTTCTCCAGAACACACCCCACTGTGTTTCAGCGAAGATGCTGATCTTGGGATTGCAGGCTTAGGCTATCCTTTAAACTATCATTCAATGCAGCTTATTATTAACAGAGCTGAAATTGTACCAAATTCCCTTTCTTAGGTTAGTGCACCAGCACCTGGTCATGTGATTGCACATATACAGCTAAAGTGCCTACTCTGTATTGGCGATTTGCACAAGGAACTCTTAATATTGCTATATTTCAATTCTGGTGGACTTTCCTCTAAATACAAAGATACCAGAATTGGAAAGAGACTGTTCTCTGACACTTTATAAAGGCTGCAATCAAGAGAGTCCCAGATGAAGACATTCCTAACATTTATGAAGCTCGGCAAAGGGTCCTTCATGCTGTCATTCCAAACCTCTCAGGAGATGCAAGAGAGTTGTTCTGAGGCGTGATTTGTACATTGTCCAACAAGAAATGGCCAAAGCACTCGCTGCTCAACATCCACACAAGCATAAGGTTAGTTCTGCACGAGAGAGTGAGCCCAACACAACCACCAACGCAGCTGCATCACACTTCGTTTGTGTGTCTCTCCAAAAGAAATCAGAAGTGAAGTCAGCCGTCTGGAGCACAGCCAAATTGTAACAGCTCGCAGCAGGAGGGCCAAAAGAAGGGAAGCAATTTGTGAAGTGCTGTATCCTGTTCATCCTTGTATCCCATTGGAGGAGCCTAGTGGAGAGTCTTCCTCTCCAAACTGCAGCTTGCATAATCAGGTGGGTATTTATTTATTAAAACATTTGTATGCTGCCTACTGTGCCATAGCCCTTCTGGGTGGCTCACAGTCGTAAGATAAAAAACCACAATAAAACTACTAATTAAAAAAGGTAAGACTAACAAAATACAGATTAAAAATAGAAAACAAAGGTATAGTGGCATCAACTATTAACATGCTTTTTAAAAAGGAAGGTTTAGCTTCCTTTTTCTCTCAGCTGATTCTGGTTCCTCATTCTCTCAGCTCATCTTCTCTGAGTTGGGCCCATTTGCCTTCTGAACTGGCCAATCCCTGAAAACAGGATGGCTGAACTGCTACGCTGGCCGTGACTTTTCTTAAACCAGGCATACCATATGATTTTACCAAATGAATTGGCTCCCTGGATTGTGAAGCCATCACGCCAGTGCTGAAGAGCCACTGGCTACCTTCCTCATGGGACTGCAGGTGGCGCAGTGGTTTAAACTGCTGTGCTGCTGGGCTGGTTGATCAAAAGGTCGCCGGTTCGAATCTGCACAACGGGGTGAGTTCCCATTACTCCGACCCAGCTCTTGCTAACCTTGCAGTTCGAAAGCATGCAAATGCAAGTAGATGAAAAGGTACCACTTCGGTGGGCAGGTAACAGCGTTCCGTGCACTTCGGTGTCCAGTCATGCCGGCCACATGGCCACAGAGACTGCCTGCGGACAAGTGCTGGCTCCCTCGGCCAGGAAACGGAGATGAGCACCGCCCCCTAGAGTGAGGCATGACTAGACGTAACGTCAAGGGGAAACCTTTACCTTTACCTTCCTCATGCAGCCAGCTCCGTGCAATCCACGCAAGGTGTTATCCGTGTACCACATGGTGGCTCCTATGCTTGGATCGGACTCCTAGCATAGTGAACGCTTAGCATGAAATCTCCACATAAAGAGGTTTGGGAGATGTTGCTTGCCAGGCTTAGAAGAATTCCAAAAAAGTCTGGGCTCTTGACATGCATTAATCGTTTAATTCAAGTTTCTAACCCACCATTCACTGTTCCTGGTGCTTTCTAAAGAAAAGCAAATTGTACAGGTGCCTTCACCTAGTTCTCTGATAGCTCAGTGGTTAAACACATGCCTTTTACACAAAAGGTCACAGGTACAATCTTGCAGGTAGAGTTGGGTATCTCCATGCAAAGCTGGGAGAGCCTCTTGCTGGAAACCGTGAAAAGCCCAGTGCCAACTGCTCTAAACCAGAGACAGGTAACCTAAAGCCCTGCAGATGTTTAGAGCGACACCTGCCCCTAGTCCCATGGATGCTGTCCATGTTGACCTAGGCTCACAAGAGTTGTAGGCCAAAACATTTGGATGACACCAGATTGCCTGATGTTTCATAGCCTGTCTGGATAGTTTTGTGAATAAGCTACGAAGCTGCTCTCTCAGATTAAACATTTCAATATGCCCTGCTAGCAGTATGGTTTTTTTTATGTACCAACCAAATTCTAGAAGCCATTTCCCATAGACAGCAATTTCTTTTAATGGGCAAACTGGCTTTCTCACCAAGCCATTAGAAAAGGAGCAAACTGTACTCTTTGTTTATGCAAAGAAGCAAGACTGCTTTCCGAAGGCCATCTCCCCCGGCTCTTACAACATCATTCTTAAACTTCTTTCCTGAACTTGGAACAGTCTCCATCCGAGAAAAAGACTTTAAAAGCCCATTGAGAACAATGCCGCTGTTACTGACGCCAGCAATAAACTTGGCAGAAGCCCTCACACTCAAAACCATTGTAATAATTCATAGTAGCAAACTATAGCAATCATATGTCTTTCATTTCGTTCCTTGTAGCCTACACCCCAACAAATGAGCCGCTGTAAAATCTGGCTGTAAAGCAAACTTTGAAAAACACTGTGCCTTGGCCACACCCTAAACATGCAATTCATTATCACTATCCACTGAATTAACACCATGGTATAAACCAGAAACATGAAGGCAGAATTCCAGAAAACCAAGAGAAACCCATGTATGAATTTTACATTGCTGTGTAAGCCAAGAATAATTGCCAGAACCAAAGTTCTTATTTTCACAGACTATAGTGAAACATAAGGTGGATTAAATACATTGTCAGAATGCTATTTATCAACTCGCTACCCATTCAAAGCTAAGACTCATCTGCCAGTATTTCTCAGTAGCAAAAAAGGCACAGTACAACACAAAAATGGCACAGTATCACAAGCGTTTTCATTGAGGTAAAGATTGGCTCCAGAAGGTGGTAAGTTCAGGCATTTGATGAGACCCAACCATAGCAACCAGGGATGTATCAATTTTCTTTAATTAATTCCATCGGTGTATGAAGATGGTCAGGTCCTGTTTGCTCTATAGTCTGTTCATTGCTGCTTCAGATTTTTTTTTCCAGTTTCCCAAACTTGTATTTGTGAGCACTTCCACAAATTTGCACTAACAAAAATCTGGAAAAACACACAAATCCCTTCATGCACATTTCTATGCTTTAGTCTCCGGCAGGGAGATGAAGGTTTAAAACATTTTCGTGCTTTTTTCCTTTGACTACATAGTCATAACAATGCCAAACAGTTTGAATTTTCTTAAGTAGTCCACAAGTTGGCCAAATCTGTGTGACCTGGGAAAAGCCATTCCAGTACGGAACCCGCAGGCACTTTTCAGTCTGTCTCACATTTTTCAATCACTCTCATCACGCTCACATACCACATGGATCGTTTATGACATCATTAATAAGCAGTGACAGAAGTCTCCTGTACCTTTGCCACTTGGATTTAGTCTGGGGTACGTTTTTTGCATTTATTTACAGGTTTGATTTATACCCTGGCTTGCTTGCTTGCTTGCAAACATTTGTATCCCGTCCTTCCAACAAGCACTCAGGACGGCTTACATAGTATAAAATTAGAATACAATAATAAAACCACAATGATTAAAACCATATAAAATTGGCATCATAAACTAAAAAGAAAAGGAAGAAAAAAATAGAAAATGCAACTGTGAGGAAAGAAAAAAAACTCTTAAAACATCTAAAAACCTTGATTATTTAAATGATGGTTGAATAAAAAGGTCTTTACCTGGCACCAGAAGGAGTATAAAGTCGGTGCCAGGCAGACTTCTCTGGGGAGCGCATTCCATAGTCATTATAACAAAACATGGCCCTCAAAGTGGCTTACAGGCCCTCTTAAAATGGGTTAATCCATGGAGGACATTAAATGTGGGTAAGGATATCCTGTCATCTACCTGGGCCATTTCTCTGTTCCAGCCAGGCCTTTGCAGGAATTACCTGCTGAAGTCCTGGAAACTCCTCAGCAGTCATCAGAAAAACACTGGGATTCATCAGTCTCCTGGAAAGTCCCACCTTAACTGGCACCACCACCCTGCAGAGGCTCCAAGTCTCAGGAAGTCTAAGCCCCACCAGGTATTGATCTCTGTGTGGAAAGGGATTTAGAAAAAAGGTCTTCCATTCCCAAACCTCCATCATCCCACCCAACACAGAAAACCAGACCTAAAGGGTCTCTTGCTGAATGAGTGGGATCACATAGTAACTGGGACAGAGCCATGACTGCTTTGCAAGCCACGTATTCCTGAGCTAGAGTATGTATGCTGACACCTCCTTAGCACAACCAAACATGGAGACTCAAG